GGACAGAGGTGCAGTGGGGACAGTGGTAGGGACAGTGGGGACAGTGGTGGGAACAGTGGGACAGCTCAGTGGTTCGAACTGGTAGTGACCCCCCCCTCCGGTTTTCGGGGGGGGGGGGGTTCGAACCGGTAGTGACCCCCCCGGTTTTCGAGCTCGGGGGGGGGGGTTTTGGGGGGGGGGGTTTTGCCGGGGGAAGGGGGGGGGAGGGGTTCCAGCAGGGGGGGGGGATTTTCGGAGGGGGGGGGGGACCCCCGGGTTCCGGAGGAAAAGGGCGGCAATTTTCCACGGTAAAGCGGCGGTGGATCACGCTCTCTCTCTTATATGCATAGATAATATATCTTGAGCCACGAGAGATACATTTACAATAAAGTCATATGTAGATCAATCTACCCACACACGCACACACCTATATACACACATACATATATAGACACGTGCACACCATGTCTATATGTATATATTTATTCATACACACATATGTATGGCGTGCATGAGCGTTCGCGCGTATAACATGTATGCACATATTCGTGAGCGCATGCGCACGCGCACGCATGCCGCCTGCGTGCGAAACTCGAAGGACCAATGTGCATTGCGCGAAGCGCCACTGCAGTCTTGTAAATATGTAAATATGTGCATACACATATCTCTCTCTATATATATATGTATACACATGTTCATAGACATTTATGTATGCATGTATGTATGTATGTATGTATGTATGTATATATATATACACATGTGGAAGGCCTTACGGCCATTGCCGCCGACCGAGACGGGGGACGGCGACGGTGCTAATATTCTGGAGCCTTTCTTGGAGCTCTCTGGGGAGCCCATGGGCTCTGTCGTGGGGCCTCTTGGGGGACTTCCTGGGAAGCGCTGTGGCCACTTGGAGCCGCCTCGGAGCGAATCTGAGGCCTCTTGGAGGCATGTGGGGACATACGCAGCACCCCGCAACAACAGATAAGAGTGAGGAGGGTGCCTCCCAGTGGGGGGGTGGGTCTGGGAGGAGGGCGCGGCAGGGTGGGCGGGGGGAGGGGACCCGAATTCTCCGTCTACAAGGGGACCATCCCCTTGCCCCCCTTGTTCACACCGGGGACCCCCTGGGGGGGCGGTCGCGACCCCTGGAGCCGTCCCGGGACCCGTCCCCAGGATTCCCCCTGCTACCCCCCCTTGCCAGGGAAGAGCTGCCCTCCGAATCAGTTACGATGTTGTTAGAGTTCCGTCCGGCTGGATCGCTTGAGGAGGAGGGCCCAGGGAAAGTGGGGCAGCGGCGACGGCGACGACGATTCATTATATTATTGCAGCTGTATGTATGCACATATAAAGATATGTGTACATATGTATGTGCACGCACAAATGTATGTATGTATATCTGTGTGTATGTGTATGCCTGCATGCATGCAGGCATGTATGCATGTATGCTAGTATGTTTGTATGTATGGATGGATGTATGCATGCATGCATGCATGCATGCATGTATGTATGTACGAGTGAGTATCAATGCATATCTGTATACACATGCACATATATGTATGCATGCATGCAGATAGACAGGTAGGTATGCATATGCACATGTATGTATGTATGCATGTGCATGTGTCTGTATGCATGCATGTATGTAGGCATATTTGTTCGGTTGTTTCTATGCGCGTATGTAAGTATTCATGCATGCATGCACGCATGTACACATTCATGCATGCACATATATACATTTATAGACATGCATGGCATGTCTGTATGACTGTCTGTCAGTTTGTATGTTTGTGCGTGTATGTAGGCATGTATGTGTACGTATGTATCTGTGCATGCGTGCATGTAGGTATATATGTACGTACGTGTGTATGCATGCATGCATGTATGTATGCATGCATATCTGTATACATGCATGTATGTATGTATAAGTACATGCACCTATACATGCATATGTATATGTATGCAAGTATGTATGCATGCACACATGCATGCATCTACTGTATTGTATGGTATTGCATTTTGTTGTTTCGTAATGCATTGCACTGTACGGTACTGTATGCACGTATATCTGTCGGAATGTACGCATATATGCATGTATGTATGTATGTATGCATGCATGTATGTATGTATGTATGTATGTGTGCATGTAAGCATACATGTATAGGTATGTATGTATTCATAGTAGTATGTATATATGTATGCCTGTATGTGTGTACATACGTACGTACATAAGTACGTACGTACGTACGTACGTACGTATGCATGCATGCATGCATGCATGCATGCATGTATGTATGTATGTATGTATGTATGCATGCATGCATGTATGTATGTATGTATGTATGTATGTATGTATGTATATATGTATATATGTACAGACATACCCATAGTTGTATGCATATGTAGTCAGGTCTGCATGTCTGAATGCATGCGTGTATGCATGCATGTATACATGTAGGTATGTGTGCATGCACGTAATCATTTATGAATGCATGCATGCATGTATGAATGCATGCATGCACGTGTGTATGTATGCATACATGTATTTATGTGTATGTGTACATGCATGTCTGTAGTTAATCAGGTAGATAGGCAGGCAGGCAGATATATAGGTCGGTCGGTGTTTGTGTGTGTATATGTATGCATGAATATGTATATACACATATATAGATATATACACATATATCCACACGTTTTATGTACATTCGTGTGCTGCAAACGCGCTGCACTAAGTGTCCCATCCCCTCTTGGAGCCTCGCAGGGGCGTCCTCGGAGCCTCCCCAGAGCTTCCCTCAGAGCCCAGTGCCCTACGGTAGAAGCTCCAGAGGTGTCATATGGTTTTCAAACTTGCTCCAGGACGGCCCAAGATGGCCTCAAGACGGCCCACGGGGCCCCCACGACGCCCTAAGATGGTTCCAACAGAACCCACACACTCCCAATTGCCTGAGCAAAACGACTACGTTCAGCATTTTTTTTGTCCTACCAGCGTCTCAGGCGGCTCCAAGAGGCCCCCAAGAGCGATCCGAGGCCGCCGACGAGGCCCTCTAGAGGGCCCAAAGAAACGCAAGATGGCCCCAAGACGGCCCAGGAGGCACCCAAGACGTCCCCAAAGCGCGTCAATACGGCCCTCAGGGAGCCAAGAGAGGGCATCCCAAGCACCCCCCGGGCGGCCCTCAGATCGCCCTCGGCGCCGAGGTGGCCCCCAGAGAGCATCTCGGCGGTCTCTAAGAGGCCCCTTGTTCCCCAAGGAGCCTCCAAGAAATCCCAAGAGGCCCCCAGTAGACGCCCAAGTGGCCCTCATGAGTCCCCCTAGCGGCCCCCGTATAGACTACAAGATATTTCTTGCACGCCTCAGATCGAAAACACCTCCATTCCAGAAGGTCCACAAACACTAAGTATAGAAACGCTCTCCCCACCGCTCCTCCTCATCCTCTTTCTACTCCTCCTCTCCCTCCTTCATCCTCCTCCCCCTCCTCCCCACTCCCTCCTCCCCCTCCTCCTCCTCCTCCTCCTCCTCCTCCTCCCTCCAAGCTCCCCAATGAGACTTCCAGACAGAGGCCGCCAGAGTGCCCACACAGGGCTTCCAAGAGGGCCAAACCAGTCAAAACCAAATGGAATCCCAACGTGTTTTCTTTTCTTTTTTCGAATTCCCATTTGTTGCGAAAGTGTGGTCCAAGATGGCCTCGGAAGCCCAAGTGGTTCCGAAGAGAGTTGCATTACCATCCGAGGATGGCCGAGGACTGCCGCGAATACCAAGCCTCAATGGGACTTCAGGCACCAACGCGTGGGGTTCCAAACCAAGGGCCCAGTCTTCTGGACACGGTTCACCTGACGCGCTACACGCTTGGCCCCATGGCAAGTAGATGTTGAGCGCGCGCGAAGCGCGCGATGGGTTCAGTATATATGTCTGCATGTACCCCCCTCTCTCTATATATATATATATATATATAGCAATCCACCCATGCATCCATCCATCCATACATCTATTCATATGTACATACACCTACTCACATTTTCACACATAGTACACATGTATATCTGTATGCATATATGCATATATGTATATACGTCGATAGCTGCCTACATGCCCACCTATCTACATACACATATAAATCTAAACGCACCCATACGTATGTAGACATCTCCACAGACATGTATCTCTGTAGATTTACATGTATACACATGAATGTATATACATACAGATATATAGGTGTACGTCCATCATTGTATACATATATATATGAATATATGTGACCTGTATTTGTAGGTTTTCACATGTAGGCTTTTCATACATATATATATACATCCCCAACCGCATGTACTTATAGTTATATATATGTGTGTTTTTTTAGACATGTCTGCATGCGTATATTCAAATATGTTAGATGACCCCGTCTCTCTCTATAGATACAATGTTTATGTATTTATGCGTATTCCCATACCTACAAACATCAGCAAACATGCTCCGCACATGGTGTAAGTCCCGAGCGATACGAGGGACACCGTACATCGTTGAGCCCTTAGCGACAGGCTGAGCCAGAGGCTGCATTTCTTGATCCTGTTGGAAGGTCGGAGAAACGTCCCAAATTGACAAAGGGACGGGCCTCCGCCTGTCCCCCCAAATTACCCGGAACGCGCCCGAACGCTCCAACCATTCCCAGAAGCGGCCGAAAACTTCGATCATCCGTACGGTATTTGTTCGTCGATGACGACGACCAAAGTTGGCATGTACTCTCTCAGCCTGTTGCAGTTCGGGGCGAGCACTACTGCCGTTCGCCATCTCCCCTCCCCATCTCCGCATCGGAGGCAAGGAGAACGAAACCATCACCTCCAGCTGGTCACCCCCAGCGAGGAGGTCCACGATGCCTCCCCGAGTCAGGGATTGGAGATGCCTCGGTCCTTACGCCGCCACACGGGGGCCATCAGCACCCGCAGGACACTCCGCGACTCCACGATGTGATGCTGGTGCCGAGGCTCTCTGCTCCTGCAGCCTGCGCCTGGCCGCTCTCCCCGCCGCACTGGCCGAGGTGCCCTCCCCCGATCAACTGGCCAGCTATGTCAAGCAGGCGGGGGGCGCCGCCACCTGCCGCCCTCCCCAGGGGGGGGGGGGAGGGTGCCCAGGAACGGGAGAAGTCTTCGTAGTGGTGGAGTCGGGAAGCGTGGGGGAGGAGGAGGATGAGGAGGAGGAGGAGGAGGAGGAGGAGGAGGAGGAGGAGGAGGAGGAGGAGGACCAGTGTAAACCAAAGAGTCATCAACGATGTTTGAATTAGCCCCTTCTCCAAGCTCCCTCTTCATCAGCCCCTACAACGGTTCAGTTCCATTGAGGGAGCTGCCTCGTTGGGAGACACTTTTGAAGACCCTGGAGCATGCCAAAACATTGTTCTCGGGATTCCAACTCCACTGATCAACCTAACTGCTGCGTCTTGACGATCCGGAATCGTGCCAGAACGCCGTTCTTGGGACTTCAACACCGCGAATCAACATAATTGTTGCACCCGCATAATCCTGAATCTTCAAAACACCTTTTCTGGTACGGTGATCATGGGAGCCCGTGCAACTCTTTTAATTCTACGAGCGAATGCGCGCGGCGCTAAGGCGAGAGCCACATTTTGAAAAGGAGGCGCCTTGAATCTGTGAGACTTGCACCTTTTTCAAACGAATGTGCGCGGCGCTAATTCGATAGCCACATTTTGAAAACGACCCGCCCTCAATTTTGTGAAACTGTTGCCACTTTCGAAGCTTCAGGGTCATACAAGGGTGAATCAGTCTCAGGCGAAACGCCCTGGACCGCCCTAAAAACTGGCCTCGGGGTGCGACAGGGAACAGTTTTTTCTCTTATAAGGGAGATAAGTGGAGGAGGAGGAGGAGGAGGAGGAGCAGGAGGAGGAGGAGGAGGACGAGGAGGAGGAGGACACGGAGGAGGAGGAGGAGGAGGATGATGAGGAGGAGGAGGAGGAGATGGATGAGCAGAGGGAGGAGCAGAGGGAGGATGAGGATCATGAGGAGGAGGAGGAGAAGGAGGAGGAGGATGATGATGAGGAGGAGGAGGAGGAGTTGGACGAGAAGGAGGAGGAGGAGGAGCAGGAACAAGAGTAGGAGCAGGAGCAGGAGCAGGAGCAGGAGGAGGAGAAGGAGGAGGAGAAGGAGGTCGAGGAGGAGGAGGAGGAGGAGCAGGAGAGCAGGAGGCGGCGGAGGAGGAGGCGGAGGAGGAGAAGGAGCAGGAGGAGGAGGAGGCAAAGTTGGAGGAGGAGCAGGAGGAGGAGGGGGAGCAGGACGGGGAGGAGGAGGCGGGTGATGATGAGGAGGCCGAGGAGCAGGAGGAGGAGGAGGAGGATGAGGATGAGGGAGATGAGGAAGAGGATGAGGAGGAGAAGGAGGAGGAGGATGAGGCGGAGGAGGAGGAGGAGGCGCAGGAGGAGAAGGAGGATGATGAGGAGGAAGATGAGGAGGAGGGGATTGTGTAGGAGGAGGAGGAGCAGGAGGAGGAGGAGGAGGAGGAGTAGGAGTGAGGAGGGAGGAGGAGGGACGAGAGGAGGAGGATGAGGAGGATGAGGAGGAGGAGGATGAGGAGGAGGTGGAGGGGGTGAGGAGGAGGAGGAGGAAGATGAGGAGGACGAATACGAATACTATTCATACTGATAAGCCCCATGAGAAGATTACGACGAACACTCATACGTCAAACACTCATACGCGTACGAAGACAGCTATGTACCACTAAGAGTAAGTCGACGAATACTAATACACATCATACCAATACTAATTATACGAACAAGAACGACTACTCATACGCATAATGAAAAGACGCCTGACATTGTGCATAATAATAATACCACTACTAATACGTTGGCCACGGACACGACCACGCATACACATACTACTCACACTAGTACTATTATTCGTACTCGTAGTACTAATCACAGTAACTATCAGTAGTCATAATGTTGTTGCCAATACTAACAACAATACTAAAACTAACATAAGTAATGCTAATGCGGATGATGATGATACTGGTAGTAATGCGAATACTAATACTGTCACTTATAAGACTAATAATGGTAGGGATAAGAAGACTACTAGTAACATTGATACTATTACGACGGAGCAGCATACTGAGGATGCTGAGGAGGCGGATGATCATGAGGATGAGGAGCAGGAACATGAGCAGGAGCAGGCGCAGGAGCAGGAGGAGGAAGCTGAGGAACACACGGGGGAGGAGGAGGAGGAGGAAGAGGAGGAGGAGGACTATGCGAATCATGAGGAGGACGAGGAGGAGGAGGAACAGGAACTGGGGATGATGATGAGGAGGAGGATGCGGACGAGTAGGAGGGTGATGAATCTCAATAGGATGCTGATGCTGATGATGATGATATTGATGATGATGATGCTGATGATGATGACGATGCTGGTGCTGATGATGGTGATATTGATGATGAGGCTGCTGAGGATGATGCTGCTGATGATGATGCGGATGACGATGCTGCTGCTGATTATGACGATGATGGCGATTATGCTGACGATACTGCTGATTCGGATGCTGACGTTCATGATGATGATGATGTTGAGGATGCTGCTGCTGATGATGCTGCCGCTGAATAAGAATAGTACTACGAATACCAACACTAAGAATGCTACTAATAGGACTAGTAGCACTGACACTACGACTAAGACGTTTAATACCATTAATCATAATAACACTACGAAGAACAACACCATGGGACTTTCACTAAGGGTAATACTATTAACATTGGTACTACTAAGAATAATACTACTAATTCTAAGACTACAACTACGAATAAGACTACGCACACTAGTACTACGAACAATAATAATACGACGACATGTAGTTCGAATAATACTAATACGAATAATACTGCCAGTATTAATAGTACTACGAACAATAATACTCAGACGACTGCGGTTAATTATTTTACGAAGAAGACGACTAATAATATTAGTAGTAGCTAACAAGGTTAATGCTACCAATAGTATTCACTATTAATATTAACGAAATCTTGATCACATTAATACTTTGAGTACCGCTATGAATGCTAATAATAATGACGAAACTAAGAGTATTATTAATACTACGAAGAGTAGTACTAACCATACGAATACTACTAGTACAACACATAATACTAATAAGCACAACACAACTGCTAACACTATTATTAGTGATAGTAATAACATTATTGGTTGTAAGACAATCGTATTATTCATACTTGGAATACGAATCATAATACGAATCATAGTATTACTATTAAGAGGAATAGGGGGAGGAGGCGGAGGAGGAGGGAGGAAGAGGAGAACGACGAGGAGGAGGGAGGAGGGAGGAAGAAGGAGGGAGGAGTGAGGAGGGAAGAGGGAGGAACCCAGGGAGGAAGGAGGAGGGATCAGGGAGGAGGGAGGAGAGAGGGGGGGGGAGGGGGGAGGAGGAAGGAGAGATGAGGGAGGAATGATGAGGGAGGAGGGAGGAGGGGGGAGGGAGGAGGAGGAAGGAGGGAGGGAGGGAGGGAATGAGGAAAGACGGGAAGAGGGCGGAGGGAGGAGGGAGGGGGGGGGAGGGAGGAGGGAGGATGGACGAGGGAGGAGGGAGGAGGGAGGAGAGAGGAAGGAATGAGGGAGGGAGGGAAAGAGTGATCGGAGGGATGGAGGGAGGGAGATAGGGATGGAGGGAGGGAGGAGGGAGGAGGGAGGTTGGAGGAGGGAGGAGGGATGAGGGAGGAGGGATGAGGGATAAGGGAGGCGTGAGGAGGGAGGATGGAGGAGGGATGAGGGAGGAGGGAGTCGGGAGGAGAGAGGCGGGAGGCGGAAGGTGGGACCCATTGGACTGTGACCCATTGGGTTGGTTCCCGCGTATACGCGGCGCTCCTCCCTTCTGCGAGGGCCCGCGACCTATAGGCCCTATGGGTCGTCGCAGCCAGGAAGGCCCCGCAGGTAGCGCCTGTATGCGCTGCCGTTGGGGAACGCGGGTGCCTTTAGGCAGGGAGGGCCTATAGGCGCGCCTGTAGGCGAGGAGGGCCAATAGGCGTGCCTGTAGGCAGGGAGGAAGGAGGAGGGGGGAGAGGGGGGGGAAAGGAGGGCCTGTAGGCACGCCTGTAGGCAAGGAACGAGGGAGGGCCTGTAGGCGTGCCTGTAGGCCAAGAGGGTGGTGGTGGTGGAGGAGTGCCTATAGGCACGGGGTGCCTGTAGGCGTGCAGGTAGGCAGGGAGGAAGGGAGGGGGAGGGAGGGGGGGAAAGGCGCGCGCGCGCTGTGCCCCTTTCTGACCGTCCAGCGCTAGCATGCGTGCACGAAGGTCGAGGCGGCCACGCCTATCAGCCGCACCTTGGCAGCTAGCTCGTCCACGTCCAGCGTGTCCCGCAGCGCCCACAGCAAGAGCTCGCCCCTCGGCGGGCCCCACGCGGCATGCACCGCCTCTCGGTGGACCTCCATGGCGGCGCAGCATTCAATCAGGTGCTGGAGGCAGACCGCGCCGCCAGCGCACAACGGGTACGCCTCGGGCAGGCGCTCCGCCGGCAATCCCCAGACCCCGACCGGGATTTGGAGCGACACGCGCGCGGCGCACAATGCACGGTGGAACCGCAACATAGTTCGCCCCCATGACGCCCACCTGAGAGCGGGGGGCCAGTCGCAATGCAGAGGGAGGACCTCCGCGATGGGTACGAGGCCGGTGTCGTTCAAGCGGCCCAGCTGTTCCCGGAGGGAGGAGAAGGAGGAGAAGGAGGAGAAGGAGGAGGAGGAGAAGGAGGTGGAGGAGGAGGAGGAGAAGCAGGGAGGAGGAGGGAGGAGGAGTGGCGAGGGGGGTCTCATGGGCTGTCGACGTTCGCCTCGGGGGAGCGGCAGTGAGTTCACCGACGGCAACAGCCAAACGAAGGCACTGTGCGGAGGCGGGAGGCGGGAGGCGGGTGGTGGGAGGAGGTAGGCGGGAGGGGGGAGGAGGGATGAGGGAGGAGGGAGGAGGTTGCAGGGAGGAGGAAAGAGGGAGAATGGAGGAGTGAGGAGGGTGGAGGGTGGAGGAAGGAGGGAGGAGGGAGGGAGGAGGGATGAGGGAGGGAGGAGGGAGGGAGG